CTCTGTTACCGGGCAGAACATTTTTAAACTGGTATGAATCCATTTGAACAGATGTTTTCCTTTTCACAGCTTGATCACTGCATGTTTAGTCGCATTTTGACCCTGGACCTGCGTCCCTACCCGCTGGCTGAAGAGGAAAACGACAAAGCAAGAGCTGAGGAGGCCAGAACCGACACAAGGCTGGAGTCTTCTACCCTGAAAAAGACTCCATGAAGTCATCGTTTCTTTGTGTTTTACCTGAAAATGTTCTGGTTCTTAAAAGTTTTTATGCCTGCAGGTGTTTTGCTAATGGTAGCAACTAGTCTGTTGATAATTTTACTATGAAAAATAGAAGTAACCTGAGTTCTCTAAGTGTTTTTTTTTCTAGGCTAGGTTTCAATGTTTTTATTGACACCTTTGATTGTTAAGGTTTTTATTCATTTTAAGGTCGGGTGGGTTTGTTAATTGTTAAATTTTGTCATTTCCTGACAGTAATACAAAAAAGTTTAAAAATTATTCGGTTTTTAAATAGCTTGTTTTCATGTTGGTAATGTTTGCTATATAAAAATACATTAAACAAAATACAGTATTCTTTTGTTTTATTCTCAGCTTGTTACTGTTTTAGATTTTCTATTTCTGAGTCAATGATTGAATACTTTAAAAATATGGACTATAAAGCAGTAAGTTTATCTTTTCATGTTATTTAGCATAATAATAATTAACTCAACTAAATGTAGAAATACCAGGTCATTGTTGAACCTGGTATTTCTAAGAATGGAGTCTTAAAGGAATATTGGGAAATGAAGGAAATAAAAAGGATAATCACAGATTAAGAAAAGCATTATTTATTTATCTACAGAATAAAAAGTAAAAAAATAGAATTAGATGTAAAGTAATGTTGCTACACACTCATGTACAGTAGATGCGGGAAAACACCTTAAAGTTGCTTGCGTTCCGCCATAATAGAAAAGAAGAAGAAGAACTCCGATTTAGTGCATTGATCAAGATGAAACATCCTATCTGGAGCAAATAGCTAGCAAACAGGGTTATGTCCATATTTCACCTCAGGCATTTATAATTTATAGAATTATGATCATTCATTTTTGTATACCATTGTTATGTTAATTAATTATTGAGGTACAATCTCACAAATTGAGAGTTATAAAGACAATATGGGTTTAAACTTGGGATTCGTAAAAGCAGTCCAGCTCCTGTCAACTACATGATGACAGCTCTTCAGCTTTCTCAGAGGGTTTCTACAGAATTCAGAAAGTGAAACGTGATTGGTCGAAAGTAAGCCCAAAACTGGGACGTGATTGGTCCAACAGAAGATTAGGCGTTCACTGATTGGCTGGTTGGAGGACGAGGATAAATGTTTGATCCCTGTGTAAGAACAAAAATGGCACGAATGCACAGGAAAGTAGTGTAGTAGTGAAGTGACTAGTAAAGTAATTATTCTTATAGGGAATTTAGCTTATTTAGTTTTGGATTTAAAACATGATGTTTATCCGAAGCTGGTCTTGAACCCGCGATTCTTGGTTCTGACTGCTTCCTTCCTCCGCCGCTTTGCATAGGACACAAAATTCACAAATTCTTTCATTCTTAGCATTAAATTATTTTAATGCTGTTTAATACAGGTCTACTGTTTTGGACAATTTATACTGAAACCTGCAATTATAACATTCATATAAGGGTAGCTCCAGAAGGTGAAACGTGATTGGTCAAAAGTGAGCCCAAATTAAGCCCAAAAGTGAGACTTGATTGGTCCACCAGAGGATGAGGCGTTCACTGATTGGCTGGTTGGGCTTCCTTTACTCTAGCAGTGCGATGGCTGCCCCGTGATGCCTCCAGGATGTCATGGTGCGGTGCTACTGGGGAAACAGCTCCCATCATCTCCTGCATTTGGGAGCCGGAGCAGAAGGTAAGAAATCAGACTGTGGAACAATGTAAGGTTTCTCTGGTTGGTAGCGGTCATCCTCAAAGCGGAAACAAAGCTGTCATGGCCGACGAACTTTGTCAGTTTGTTGGTAATTGTTGCTAACTCTGGTCCCTGCTAGCATCCATGCTAGGCTGTTAGCAGGAGCACAGATGTGGATTTCAGCTCCATGAGGAACATGTTTACTGATAGAATGACATTATGGCCACACTGAGTTTAACTACATTAGCAGTAGTTTATGGAAAGAGTTCTCAGAAGAAAAAAAAAGTTTTATAATTAAATCTCAAATGCTGGTATTTCTGTTAATAAAACACTGGTTTCTTTCTCACTGCACCACTTTTCCTAAAATAGACCCAAACTTTTTTGGTTTGTTTTTCTTGGTTTGTACTAGAGCTGAATATTAATCAGATTAATTGTGATTAATTGATTATTGAAGTAAACATCCACTAATTTAGTAAATAATTAATCAGTAACTGGAGTATAGAGACTCTAAAACATGCATACAGACCAGAAAACAAGCATTCAGAAAGAAAGAAGACAGAAAAATCAGAGGGTGGAGTTAAACAGCACAGAACAGTTACACACAGGCCAAGCAGCTACCAGGCAGTGGAGCTGTTAGAGGAAAAGAAGCAACTGCTGCAACAATAAATTATAAACATGTTATTCACATCCAATGATTGGTTGGGACAAGTAGGTTGGTCAAAAATTTTGGTAGGGACATGTTGCTATGGTCCCTATGCAAACTTACGCCCATGTATGTGAAAATGTTTTAGTTTCACCTGATTTAATTTTGTAAAAATCTTAAAGGAACGTTTTATTTTCCAGTTATTCATAAAAAAAAAAATCAGATTACCCAGTTAGCAAACTAATTGATGTTTGCAGCCCTAGTTTGTACATATAATAAAAAAAAAAAAAAAAATATATATATATATATATATATATATATATATGGTTAGAACAAATTTATTGTATCACTGACACTGTTGAACTGCTGCAGGTAGGTTAGAAATAATCCCATTATGTGGTTTTAGGGNAGATCAGGTTCTCTTTACCTTTGGAGGTGGGCTTTCCTCTTCATTTCTATTGGTCTGCTGGACATTAGCAGCATTTAATTGGTGAAAAACAAATGTTGTTGTTGTGGTTCGAGTGAAGAGGATCTTTTAAACACGAAAATAATCCAACATTTAAAATTCCATCTGAAAAATAGGTAAAAATACAAAATCTGTTTGAAAAAATAAAATCCAAAAAAGAAAATTAATTTAAAAAAAAAAAAAAGCTGAGAAAGCAGAAAAATAACTCAAACCATTTATTGAAACATTTTTTTTTGTTTTATTTCTGGGTTGCTTTTTTTTCCATTGACAAAATGTCCTCCACAGTGTGTCGGTCATTATATCCAAAATCAAAAGGATGTGTTGATTATGTCAGGAGAGCAGGAAACTGGGAAAACGGAGTCATCCTGTAACTGAACAGCTTTACTCTGACACTGTTTGTCCGTTTGTTTATAACGGATTGGCTTTGACTCCTCCAGGTGACCAGCTTCATCAGAGAGGAGTCCAAAGTGAACATGCAGATCATTGTCATTTCCCTGAAGGAGGAATTTTTCTCCAAAGCTGATGCTCTTCTTGGAGTCTGCTCCAATGTGAGGAACTTTCAGAACCCCCTCTGTTACCGGGCAGAACATTTTTAAACTGGTATGAATCCATTTGAACAGATGTTTTCCTTTTCACAGCTTGATCACTGCATGGTTAGTCGCATTTTGACCCTGGACCTGCGTCCCTACCCGCTGGCTGAAGAGGAAAACGACAAAGCAAGAGCTGAGGAGGCCAGAACCGACACAAGGCTGGAGTCTTCTACCCTGAAAAAGACTCCATGAAGTCATCGTTTCTTTGTGTTTTACCTGAAAATGTTCTGGTTCTTAAAAGTTTTTATGCCTGCAGGTGTTTTGCTAATGGTAGCAACTAGTCTGTTGATAATTTTACTATGAAAAATAGAAGTAACCTGAGTTCTCTAAGTGTTTTTTTTTCTAGGCTAGGTTTCAATGTTTTTATTGACACCTTTGATTGTTAAGGTTTTTATTCATTTTAAGGTCGGGTGGGTTTGTTAATTGTTAAATTTTGTCATTTCCTGACAGTAATACAAAAAAGTTTAAAAATTATTCGGTTTTTAAATAGCTTGTTTTCATGTTGGTAATGTTTGCTATATAAAAATACATTAAACAAAATACAGTATTCTTTTGTTTTATTCTCAGCTTGTTACTGTTTTAGATTTTCTATTTCTGAGTCAATGATTGAATACTTTAAAAATATGGACTATAAAGCAGTAAGTTTATCTTTTCATGTTATTTAGCATAATAATAATTAACTCAACTAAATGTAGAAATACCAGGTCATTGTTGAACCTGGTATTTCTAAGAATGGAGTCTTAAAGGAATATTGGGAAATGAAGGAAATAAAAAGGATAATCACAGATTAAGAAAAGCATTATTTATTTATCTACAGAATAAAAAGTAAAAAAATAGAATTAGATGTAAAGTAATGTTGCTACACACTCATGTACAGTAGATGCGGGAAAACACCTTAAAGTTGCTTGCGTTCCGCCATAATAGAAAAGAAGAAGAAGAACTCCGATTTAGTGCATTGATCAAGATGAAACATCCTATCTGGAGCAAATAGCTAGCAAACAGGGTTATGTCCATATTTCACCTCAGGCATTTATAATTTATAGAATTATGATCATTCATTTTTGTATACCATTGTTATGTTAATTAATTATTGAGGTACAATCTCACAAATTGAGAGTTATAAAGACAATATGGGTTTAAACTTGGGATTCGTAAAAGCAGTCCAGCTCCTGTCAACTACATGATGACAGCTCTTCAGCTTTCTCAGAGGGTTTCTACAGAATTCAGAAAGTGAAACGTGATTGGTCGAAAGTAAGCCCAAAACTGGGACGTGATTGGTCCAACAGAAGATTAGGCGTTCACTGATTGGCTGGTTGGAGGACGAGGATAAATGTTTGATCCCTGTGTAAGAACAAAAATGGCACGAATGCACAGGAAAGTAGTGTAGTAGTGAAGTGACTAGTAAAGTAATTATTCTTATAGGGAATTTAGCTTATTTAGTTTTGGATTTAAAACATGATGTTTATCCGAAGCTGGTCTTGAACCCGCGATTCTTGGTTCTGACTGCTTCCTTCCTCCGCCGCTTTGCATAGGACACAAAATTCACAAATTCTTTCATTCTTAGCATTAAATTATTTTAATGCTGTTTAATACAGGTCTACTGTTTTGGACAATTTATACTGAAACCTGCAATTATAACATTCATATAAGGGTAGCTCCAGAAGGTGAAACGTGATTGGTCAAAAGTGAGCCCAAATTAAGCCCAAAAGTGAGACTTGATTGGTCCACCAGAGGATGAGGCGTTCACTGATTGGCTGGTTGGGCTTCCTTTACTCTAGCAGTGCGATGGCTGCCCCGTGATGCCTCCAGGATGTCATGGTGCGGTGCTACTGGGGAAACAGCTCCCATCATCTCCTGCATTTGGGAGCCGGAGCAGA